ACTCGAGTTGCAACCAGAGTCACGGAACGGATTAAGTTCGTATCCTGAGGTACCACTGTATTTCTTTAATCCTAGCACCTTCCCACCCATGCCATAGCATTAACGTGAAGCAGGCTGCTTGTAGCATTTATTATTTTCAAAAACAGCAAGAGATTTGTGAGTACTACCAGATAATCAACACTGTCTCCCTCCCAGGCCTTTTGATTTTCGTATAAAATATACTCAGGATTGATCTGTTGACGAATCTATTCCACATCTTTCCTTCCTTGCAACTTTTCCCGCATGTACCATAGCCCAGACTAAGCAAACTGATAGGAAATTGGCCATATTGAATTTGTAACAGGCCCTGTGGATTGGCTTGCTTTCTTCCAAGGGAGCAAGACAGTTTTAAAAAGAACACCTTCCTTGAAATGGAAGTTCTTCATACACAAAGGGGATACATTGAGATTTGTCAGGCTGCATATCCCTGGCAAAATCAAGGAAGCAAGAATGGCGTAAGTTTTGGGAAGGTATCTTTAATGCTAGTCTGGGGTAAATACAGAACCTTGAAAACTGTAACAGTAGGTTCTCAACCTTTTTATTTTATTTTTATGCCTTCGAGTCAGTTTTTGACTCCCGGAGACTGCCTGGACTAGTCCCTGCAGTTTTCTTGGCAAGGGTTTTTCAGAAGTAGATTGCCATTGCCTGCTTCCCAGGGCTGAGAGAGAGGGACTGGCCCAAGGTCACCAATTTTGTGCCTAAGGCAGGGCTAGAACTCATGGTCTCCCGGTTCCTAGCCTGATGCCTTAATTACTACACGAAACTGGCTCTCTTCAACCTTAATTATAGTGAGTTAATTAAGGAACAGCCTCTTTGAAACACTTTCTTCCTATATCTCTCCCCTCTAGACTGAGTTCTTCTCCAATAAATCAAACCCCTTATCCCCCACTTTCCCACTGTTTCTCCTAAGATGGCTACCCACTAGTTATGATATTGTTACATCAACAGGGGGTTCATCTCCTGCCAAAAGTCGTAGGACTACACCTTCATTTAGTAACCCCCTGTGAGGAGATCTGAGCACAGAGCTTGTATTCTGTTTTGCCCCTGGATCGAATGCTACAGCTCCTTTCCCAGTCTGACACTGTTCTGATGTCTTGACAATCCAGCTCTGAGAATTCCCAGAGTTGGTGGGAAACTGGTGTGCCTTGTATGAGGAACACAACTGGGAAAGCTGCATTGGACTACAGTCATGCAAGATTCCTAAAAAGGGGTCCGTGCCAAAATATGCGAAGTTAAACATGTCACTTTCAGTCACATCACTTAAAAAACAAAGTGGAGGTCAGATAATTTTGGAATGGGGACAGGGAGGAAAATTGTACTATTGGGGGGACTGTAACAATCTCTTATTTGTGGCTTCAGCAATGAAATTTCACACCAATGGAATAGAAGGGGCCATTTCAATCAGGGGAAAGAGGGGAAATCTTCATAAAAATTGATCCCTCCCTCCACTTGCTAAGATTTTTCTATTTTAACTTAATATAACTGCAAGTCTCATATTTAATTTGGCATTTAGATAAATGTGTTACAACTTCTTGTAGACATATTTAGCTAATGAATATCTGAATGAATTCTGATACTAACTAAAATGTATGCTGTATGGTCTGAATCACTATTTAGTAACCAATGTGAAATTAATTACCTAGGTACAGTATATTAGCAGAAACAACAAAATGCTTTGAGACTTCTTAAAGATTAACAAATATATTAAGGCTGTGTTTTTTGTTGGAAAATTACTATGTGTGGGTGTCTTTAATATTACTATGATATAGTAATAGTGATATTATTATTACTATAATGATTTGCTTTTCTGACACATTAAACATTCCATGGCAACTTTTGGAGGGCCTCTGGCACCTTTGGTGTTTCGTTTCAGCTTTAGAAATAAGGAATACAGAAAAGTGAGTCACGCTAGCATCAGGTCCACAGTGTTTCAAACAGGGGTTCTTCTTTGAGATCCCAAAGATTGAAAAGGCCTTATCACTGGGTTCACCTGCATTCCCTGTTCTTTGTCATTCGAACAGCCATCATTGTTCCCTTTTTAAAGTAAAATAGAAATGTTTTCAAACAAAAATAATGCAAATTAAAGACGAAATCCAAAAATGTGCTTCACTGTTTATGAGTAGATGACACATGAAAAGGATATGTGGCTGAATATTATCTAAGAATTTATTGTTCCAAGGCTTCTTAAATAATGTCAGTTTTTTCTACTGGGGTGTTTATTCCATAAGAAATAACACAATTATAATGTATCAGTTATCACAAAATAGCAATATTTCAAATACTGAAATGAGACTGTTCTGAATTAGTTGCAACATATGTCTTAAGAGCAATAATTACATTTAGAGTTCACACCTCAGAATCTTTTTTTAGTGGAATCTTCTTATTAAGTTCTATGCACATGTTGGGCACCACAGACTAATGTTCTCCACTCCCCTTTCATCAGTTTCTATATGCATGCTTCTCCTGACAGTTCAAAATATGTTTTTTGGCACCATTTTTCATATAGACAAAACAAGCAACGGACATATGTAGGATGAAGACAATGACTTGAATGAGGCAGGGTGGTTGTATATTAAAAAACTTGTCTGAAAACATTCCATGTCTGATGACTTTAGACCAACTTACTTCTCTGTGGAATAATTTGGCAACCTCCCATTGTCAAGTTACAAGAATGAATCAAAAGATAATGAAAGTGGCTAATTCACAATGATACAACAGCTTTCCTCTGGACCACATAGAAGCATCACAGTTAGAGGAGGATGAGGAGCACAGAATTCAAAGAAGTATGTCTAACATTTGATTTGTTGTTTTTTTGAAAGATATTAATTCTATTGGAATTTTTAAAAAAGTAAGTTGCCAGTAAGTCCAACAGATCCTGCATTTGTTCATAGGAATGATATTAGTTCCTCTTTTTGCTTCAGACTAGATGGGGTGTGGATGAACAAAGGTGAGGATGAGGAGAAGAGATTGCCAGCTTTCAACAGAACTCTGGTTTTGCTTCAGCAAGTCCTGAAGTCTTCTAATCTACACTACAGAGGTAGGAGAAATGATTTATCAGTATTTCTTAGCCCCCAAAGGCCATAGCAAGGACCAGGCCGAGTCAGACCACTGGGGTACCACATGCCAGAATGCATGTATCTGCTTGCATGCGCACACACACATACACACACACAAAATCTGGTAGCGCCTTTTCTGATTAATAATTTTCATTATAAGGCATAAGCTTTTGTGCTGCAGCTCACTTGATGAGATCCATAGAATGTCTCAAGTGATATAGGGTTTAAATTGGGATAGAGAGGGGGAGGGGAGGGAAGACAGGTTGGTTGTTACCACAGACTAATATGGCTCATCTCCTACAACACACACACACACAAATACACACACACACGCACAATTCCATTTTCTTACCAGCAAAGTTGCTCATTTTCACACCCATTACCAGAAGCTTTACATCCCCCAAGTTGATTGCAATCAATTCTGCATAATCAGATACTTCAGTCCAAGTAATAAAAGTTTATATCTTCGATTCTAAAGAGCTTTCTGCACACTTCTATCATTTTTGTTGCTGCACTTCCCACACATATTAGCTGCTGTCTTTTGGTTTGGAAAAAATAGTCAAGGCAACTGTTGATTAGAGTAATTCATGCAGGCATAAAAATGAAATACAAATAAATACAGAGCAATATAAACAGAATGATGAATATGTAAATATGTGGGCATTTATGTATTGCAATTATTTATATAATGTAAGCTGCAGTAAGTGTAAGCTGCTCTCCGCTTTCCACCAGCTTCATTAGATGGTCAGAAGCAGGGAAGAAAAAGGAATGCTCTAATGCATGACCCCTATGAGCTGAACTCAACTCTTGGTGACCTCATGGATACATCCTTGTAGTTTTCTTGGCAGTATTACATGAGTAGTTTGGAATTATCCTCCAGGATACCTTTTCAACTTCACAGTCTAGCCTACAGATCTGTACTTCCCTGATGGTTCCCCATCCAGGTACTAACCAGGATTAAGCTGGTTTAGCTCCTCAGATCCACCAAGGTCAGCTAGAATGCATCAACATTTTCTGATGTAGAAAGTCCTTTTCCATCTTTTCTGCTATACCATCTCAGGGGCCGTTTCCAATTAATAAGGGGAAATTTAAGTTTAGTAATAAGGCAGAAATTTCCCATTTATTTTTGAATGGAATGATCTGCTCTGAAATATATCTTACTTTTTCTTTAGCTTTGGCCTGGTGCTATCTTGGGATGTTACTAGAAAGGAAATATTCTTTCTCAACTACTCCCATGGGTATTAATGACTGTGGTTATGCTGGAACTGATCCCCTGGATTGCTTTGGAAAGGTAGGCTTGTATAATCATTGCGAAAATGCAAAGAAGGGAGTGGAACTCAGTTTCCCAAGTGCCCAACAATTCTTTCATGACAATATATTAGATATTTCTTTTCTTTTTTTTCTGTTCTTCCTACTGCTTGTAATCAAATACATATTATATGGAACAAACAGAACTAGCACTGTATCTTCCCCCTTCATTTTCCTCCCTGTTCCTTTTACAAATGTTAGTGGGATTGAAAGTTGATTGCTTCTCCCAACATAGGGGAATGAGGTTTATCCTTCCCTTTCTAGCCCTAAATCACACACACAAACACACACACACACCTAAGCCACATTGCAGGGACAAGGGGAAACGTGTGGCAAGGGAAGTTGGAAGCAGGTGTGAAGAATTTCGGCTGCATTGGGAATCTAACCTGAGCTGGGTACATCCAACTGAGAGGCCAGGCCAATGAATGCTGGCGCACCTCCTCCCCCCCCCCCCCCACACACCTGGCTGCACTGAATAGTACAAACTCAGGCATTTTCATGAGTGTCTGTAGAATGCTCTGCTGAACAGGAAATCCTCCTTGATCCCAATCCCATTCAGATAGTTTTGTTCAAGGGGATGTAAGAACAATACTTCAAATCTTTTTTTTTTTTAAGATAGGAAGTTTGGGGCACTGACATGGGGGCAAGTTCAGTCCACACAGAAATGTGGGGGCAACATGTACTACCCCTACTCCTTTTTTATATAGGGATGAGTACTTAGAACAAGGAGATGTGCCCAGAAGAAATATCCCAGAGCTATAATGAAAGGATGATTTGATTGGTTTCATCTGCTCCTTTGGGCACAAGCAAGAGAAGCAAAAAGCTTCCTCCAAGCTTCACAATTACAAAGGAAGAAGAGGAGGAAGAGGGAAGTTGCTATTCTGCTGATATTCTACTGTCTCTAATTTTAGCTGACTGACATGAGGAATGTCCCTAAAGCAGTGTTGTCCAAACTTGGCCACTTTAAGATGAGTTGACTTCAACTCCCAGAATTCCCCCCCCCCCCCCCCGCGGGGGGGGG